AAAAAAAAAAAAAAAGAAATTATCACAGGGTCACGAGGGTGGGAGGGAGAAGGAGGGTAAAAAGAGGAGTTGATACCAAGGGTTCAAATAGAAAGTAAATGTTTAGAAAATAATGATGGCAACACATGTACAAATGTGCTTGATACAATTGATGTATGGATTGTTATAAGAGCTGGAAGGGCCCCCAATAAAACGATCTTAAACAAAGCATAACTCCTTCACAGGATTTCCAGGAAGAAGGATCAATTTGTATAAAGGCAGGAGTGTGTTTGAAAATAGCCAAGAGACAAGTGTGGCTGAAGTCGGAGGAGAGGAGAGACGTAACATTGTAAAGCTAGTGATGTTCAGGCCACGAAGGGCCCTGCAGCCACAGGCAGGTTTTTACTTTAACTTGGGGAGGCTCTAGAGCAGCGGTTCTCAACCTTCCTAATGCCACGACCCTTTAATACAGTTCCTCGTGTTGTGGTGACGCCCCCCCACCCATAAGATTATTTTTGTTGCTACTTCATCACTATAGTTTTGCTACTGTTATGAATCCGGCGACCCCTGTGAAAGGGTCATTCAGCACCCCCAAAGGGGTCACGACCCACAGGTTGAGAACCACTGCACTAGAGGCTGCGTGAAGTGACATAGTCCGAGGAATCGTGATGTCAACAGGATCACCCTGGCGGTTCTATAGAGAAAATAGATTAAAAGCAGGGCAGAGCGGGGAGCCCAGTTAGGAAGCTGCTGGAGTGGTTCGGGTGGCCGGCGATGGCGGCCATGGAAAGGGACAGCAGCCCCCCCTTGGAGACTCGTGTAGGAGAGATCCCAGCTGCAGAGTCTACCGATGGGTCATAGAGAAAGGTATCCAGGTTGGCTCCCAGGTTTCTGGCTGGTAGAACCGGATGGGTGCTGGAGGGAGGGCAGGCTGGTGGGTGGGGGGAATCATACTTTCCCTCAAATGTGCTGGGTGTGAAATGCCTTTGAGCCACTCAGGGAAGGTCGGGTTGGCATAGAGTCACCTGAGCCTTGTGTGTGGTGGCGTGAGGTTGATGTGTGAGGGTGCCTCCTTCCTGAAGTGAACTGATGGCCCCCTTTCCCTCCCCAGAACGAGCGAGAACAGATCATGACCACCAACATCTGGCTGAAACAGGTAAGTGCCCTGCAGGGTGTCCAGCCAGAAGACACTTCTCCAGGGCTGCCCCTAAGTGGCGACTGACCTGCCTGTGACAGGGCCTTGCTTGTCTGCTCAGGAATGGACCGACTACCGCTTGGCTTGGGACAGCTCCCGCTATGAGGGTGTGAACATCCTGAGGATCCCTGCAAAGCGCATCTGGCTACCTGACATCGTGCTGTACAACAAGTGAGCGGCGGGGCCGGGCCTCTCGGTGACCCTCTAGTGGGGGGTGGGCTGGGCGCCTCCAGTCCCGTGCCCCATCTGTGCTTGACCAGATCCAGGCCATTGAGCCGGAAGACGAATTAGAGATGAGCACAGTAAGCACCCAAGGGCACTATCTGTCACTCGGGCACAGCTGGGACCAGGACCAGCTCCCACGTCCCCGTGCCCCACCCCGACCCGTGCTCTATCTGTCCTGCACACTCCGCTGTCTCCTGGGACCTCGGTGCTTTTGTCAGCGTCAGCAGCACCGAGTGATCCCGGGCAGGGCCGCTCTGAGCCAGAATTGACTCCCTGGGAGTGAGTTTTGTTTGGGCAGATGGAGGCCGTGAGCGAGAGTCTTCCTGGATTGCATTGATACCCAGAGAAATGTGAGATGGTTTGGACCTGCTTCTAGGCTGCCGTTCATGTTCCTAGGAAATTCCCTTTATAGTTAACTGAATGGGGACAGCACAATTAAAGTTCAGTCAAATTTTAGTATGGTGAAATTTTACTATGATATTTGGAAAACATGTAAACCAAATTCTTATTTAAGTACCCACCTCATTTCACCCCCCAACCGTTTGATTGGCATATAATTCACATAGCATACACATCAAGAAGAGTTGTACAGCCATCACCACAGTCCATTTCAGATTAACCTCATTTTAACAATTCTTTATTAATTTGGTGGCCTTGCTGTTGTTTGCCTACTTAATAGCCATTTTCCTCTTTTTAAGAAATGATAGTGTAGTTCAGTCGTCCTTTCTTTTTCCAGTTGTCTCCGGAGTCAGTCCTACATGTGAGTCACTCTCAGGGGCTCTGGGCTTGCTGGTCAGTGAAGCTTCAGCAAAGGTGTGTGGGTATCCGAGTGTGTGCCTGGGAGGGAGGCCTGCTCCCAGGATGGATCAGACCTGGACCCTACAGACGCCTTGAATCTGGTGTATTTTATCTTTGATCTTGTCTGAGTGTGATGTTGCAGCCCTCTGTGTCCACGAGGATTGGCCATTCCTTTTAAAGAACTGGACTGTCCTAACCGTAAGCGAAACATCCATTTTCTCTTGTCCCATTAAAGTCCACACAAAACGAATACTTGGTTGAATTCTTCTGACACAGCAGATTCTGAGGACCAAGATGCAGTCTGAGTTCATTACAACTCCAGTTCTGCCCATTCACATTTCTTCTGAGAGCTGCCCTAGTCATTCTGAGTACAAGGTTAGAGGAATTAATAGCTGAAGAATGCAATCTTTTAGAAACACCAACAAACCGAGAAAGCATGTTTATTTTCTGGAGAGCTTTTTTTTAATTAAAAAAACTTTCAAGATTTGTTGTGTCGCATCTATTAATCAATCAAGGTCATCATTCTAAGGGTCAGTGTTAGAATGTAAACAAAGCCGTTATTCCTTTATCTTCTGCAATAACAGCAACTTGACTGCAGGGAAACTTTGTCTCAATTACCCCGTCTCTTCATTACAGGAAGTCTGTGCACAGCCCTTTAAAGGAAACAAACCCATTAAAAATTATAGCTTAAATAGCTCGTTTGCCAAAATCCAGCATTTAAATCTAATCTTGGGAAGTCCTGACCTTGTGATCCATCTGCAATTCTGTTTCCCCATTTCTCTGAATGATCTAGGCTTCAGAGATTCATTGATGATTGCTCTACCCATGACAAGGAAAGTAATATTGGCACACACGTTCTAAATGTAGTGGTTAATGGCATCTGGGTGCAAGCACCCACCCACTAGTTTTCTAATCCTGGAGGACTCACTTCACTTCTCTGCTCCTCGGTTTTTCCATCTGTAAAATGGGCGTCGTAATAAAACCTTCTTTGGACCATCGTGAGGCTTTAGTGAGCAATTCCAGGTGAGGCCTTCAGCTGGTCTCCCAGTAGGGGCTCCCCAGCACGCAGCTGCCGAGGCAAACAGAAAGTGAGGGCACAGGGTGGGCTGTAAGTGAGATTAGGGAGACTTAGTCCTGAAGGGCTCTTTGGGGCGTTGGAGAGCACGCCAGGCCTCGTCCACGCGGTTAATGATGCTCTTTCTCCTCCGCGCCCTGCGCCTCGCCCGCAGCGCCGACGGGACCTACGAGGTGTCGCTGTACACCAACGCGGTGGTGCGCTCCAACGGCAGCATTATGTGGCTGCCCCCCGCCATCTACACGAGCGCCTGCAGGATCCAGGTGAGGCACTTCCCCTTCGACCAGCAGAACTGCACCCTCAAGTTCCGCTCCTGGACCTACGACCACACGGAGATCGACATGGTCCTCAAGACGCCCTCGGCCAGCATGGACGACTTCACGCCCAGCGGCGAGTGGGACATCCTGGCCCTCCCGGGGCGGAGGACTGTGAACCCGCAGGACCCCAGCTACGTGGACGTGACTTACGACTTCATCATCAAGCGCAAGCCGCTCTTCTACACCATCAACCTCATCATCCCCTGCGTGCTCATCACCTCCCTGGCCATCCTGGTCTTCTACCTGCCCTCGGACTGCGGCGAGAAGATGACGCTGTGCATCTCCGTGCTGCTGGCGCTCACCGTCTTCCTGCTGCTCATCTCCAAGATCGTGCCGCCCACCTCCCTGGACGTGCCGCTCATCGGCAAGTACCTCATGTTCACCATGGTGCTCGTCACCTTCTCCATCGTCACCAGCGTCTGCGTGCTCAACGTGCACCACCGCTCGCCCAGCACCCACACCATGGCGCCCTGGGTCCAGCGCTGCTTCCTGCACACGCTGCCCACCTTCCTCTTCATGAAGCGGCCCCACGGCAGCCCCACCAGGGCCCCGCAGCCCAGCCAGGTGCCCCTGACTGCTTCCGAGGGCCCCTCCTCGGCCGTGGGTCCCACTGGCGCCGCCCACCGCTACGGGAGCACCATGTATTTTGTAAACTCTTCCTCTGCCGCGCCCAAGTCTCCCTCCGGCTCCGACTCGGCGGGGGTCCCCAGGGAGTTCCGGCTGAGATCCTCGGGGAGGTTCCGGCAGGATGTGCAGGACGCCGTGGAGGGCGTCAGCTTCATCGCCCAGCACATGAAGAGTGACGATCAGGACCAGAGCGTGAGTCCGCAAGAGCCAGCCTGCCCTCCTGCCTCGGGGGAGAGCCTGGGTCATGTCAGTCGTCTCAAGTCACCCACGGTGCATTCGTGCCACACACACACACAGACCACACAGCACAGACACACAATACACATCACACACACCACACACACATGCACATACAACACACATACATATACA